TATTAAATATTCTTTACTTCCAAAAAATTCTTTCCATTTTTGTTTAATCTCCTACTGATCTGTGAAAAGTGAGGCACTTTTGATCCAAAAATTCTTTTACTTCTCAAGAAAAGAATAGTGTTGTTTCTCCCTTTGGAGTCCTTTTTTCTCAGACACACTGATCCCATTTTTTTGCTCATAACATTGATATTGTTTTGGTGTTGGATTTGTAAAGAAGGAGAAGAAGATGGAGACTCAGAAGAGCAGAGCAATGGGAATTGATAGAACTGCAATCAATCGGCGTAAATCGAACCGAGAACGAAAAATGGCATTGCAGAAAGATGTAATCTTCCAACATTTCAATTGGGTTTCTTAATATCTACAAAATAGTTCTTCTTTTAATGTTGTTGTTATTTGATATGTGTTCGTTGACTTATCGGTTTGGTTTGGAATATGCAGGTTGATAAGCTGAAGAAGAAGCTCAGACATGAAGAGAATGTACACAGAGCATTGGAAAGGGCTTTTACAAGACCATTGGGAGCTCTGCCTCGTCTTCCTCCTTATCTCCCTCCACATGTTTGTACAATTATCTCTCTCTCTCTCTCTCTCTCTCTCTCTCTCTCTGAAAACCCAGAAGAACCCTTTTCCAAGATTAGAAATTGATGAAGAATGCACTTCATTTGGATTGATGCAAATTGCGATGCTTTTTGTTTCAGACATTAGAACTTCTGGCTGAAGTAGCTGTTTTGGAAGAGGAGGTTGTTCGGCTCGAAGAACAGGTTGTTAATTTTCGACAAGGCCTGTATCAGCAGGCTGTGTATCTGTCCTCCAAGAGTAGTGTCGAAACTTTGAATGATTCGATTGAGCGGACACCAATTCGAGGCTCTAAACATCAGAGGTCAAAATCTTTGTCACACAATGAGTTCAAATCAGTAGCAGCAGCCAGCAGGCTTCAACCTTCTCTTGCTCGCTGTGCTTCGAGCAGAAGGATGATGTCCACTGATCATATCGTCTATGATCGAACGGGGAATTGTTCTACTAGGCAAGTCAATGGAAAACAAACTCCCAGGAAACCCAATTCCTTCACACCTATTGCAGAAGATGGTAGAGGAAATGAGAATCGATTATGTCCTAATGCAGCGAAGGATAAGCAGTCTCCTGACAAGAAAACCGCTAAAATTGTAACCCCAGTGAAAAAATCTCCTATGAAACATGAATCCATGGCAAAATCTTCGGACGCTTTGAAGTTAGAGGTATGTAGTACTGTAAAAGTTGTAATTAGACTCAATCTGTAACACATTGTGGTTATTTATTTGTGCCTGTAATTGTTCAGCTAGAGTGCAGATTAGTAGACCAGGAAAGAACACATGAGAGTTCATCTAGTTCTTCGGATGATAGGGTTCTGGAAGCTGATAACACTCCTAACAAAGTGTCTGAGGACATTGTCAAGTGTTTGTCCAGCATTTTTGTGAGGATGAGCAGTTTGAAGGACAAGGTAGAGGAATTGGGAAGTTCTAGATCAGCATTATCTGCTCATGCAGCAAATGGAGAGACAGGGTTTCGAGATCCTTATGGTATTTGTTTGGAATTCAGAGACATGGACGTTGGCCCCTATAAACACCTCCATTCGATTGATATTTGTTCGATTGATCTCAACAGAACAACAAGCGCGTTGATTCTGATGCACAGATTAAAGTGAGTTTTTAGTCTGTCTAATCTTGGTCCTCCAATAATCAAACTGCTTGCAATTGTGTTTAATTGATTTGTCTTTTATAAAAATCAACAGGTTCCTACTTGGAAAGCTTGCCACAGTGAGTCTAGAAGGTCTTAACCATCAGCAAAAGCTTGCATTTTGGATCAATACTTATAATTCCTGCATGATGAAGGTAATACTGCATCTCTCTATCCAAAATACCGAAAACCAAATATTTATGATGTCCCAACTGCAAGTTTGATCAATCATTTTTTCAATACATTGAGAGATTGTATCTTTGACCTTTACCTGGTATATCTAAAACGAAAACAACATACTCGAAACTGATTGTATTGTAGGCATTTTTAGAGCATGGGATACCTGAGACTCCTGAAATGGTTGTAGCACTAATGCAAAAGGTAAGATCAATCCATCTCTACCGATTTCATTGGACACGCACGCACACACATTGGATTCCTTAACTTTATATGCCCACAGCATCATGCACAGCACTTCGTTATGTGATGTTCTGTTTCTGTTAGTGTCAACTGCTATTGTATAATAATTTTTCGTAAATTGACATTGGCTGTGCTTGCATCAGGCAACAATAGGTGTCGGGGGGCACCCACTGAATGCAATTACAATCGAGCATTTCATTTTAAGACTGCCTTATCACTTGAAATTTGTAAGTATATTCACCTTAAATTCATTATCCTTTTAGGTTATGGTCTACTGACTTTTGTTGAGTGACTCAAGTTACTCTCATCTAATGCATATTGCCTACAAAATGCAAATTAAGTTTCACAATCTTCCTACTCTTACAACAGACATGTCCAAAAGCTGCGAAAAATGATGAGATGAAAGCTCGCAGCATTTTCGGATTAGAGTGGTCTGAACCCTTGGTTACATTTGCACTTTCGTGCGGAAGCTGGTCCTCCCCTGCAGTAAGTTAACCTCAAACTTAATTCAGATTTGAAACTTGTGCAATATCGTCTGTATAAACCTATTCGGTTCGTTCTGATATGCTAAAATTCTTGTGAAACAAAAGGTTAGAGTGTACTCAGCAGCTCATGTGGAAGAAGAGTTGGAAGCAGCAAAAAGGGAGTATATACAGGCAGCAGTTGGCATTTCAAGGACAAACAAACTGATCATCCCCAAGCTTTTGGATTGGTATTTACTCGATTTCGCAAAGGATTTGGAATCATTGGTGGACTGGATTTGCATGCAGCTACCAAATGAACTGAGAAATGAGGCAGTTCAATGCCTTGAAAGGAGGGGAAGAGACGAACCCTTTTCACAGTTGGTGCAAATAATGCCATACAATTTCACCTTCAGGCTGCTCTTACAGAAATGACAGACAAGTTTTTTTTTTTTTTTTTTTTTTTTTTTTAAATTTTTTGTTCCAATTCTTTAGTATGCATAGTTTTTGTGAACAGTTGTTATGGTGGTGGGTTTGATGAGGGAAACTTGATAGGGTCCGGTAGCTCTCACATCGGGTAGGACCAGTATACTGGTCGAGTGTGACCAAAATACAAAAGGTTCGTGCTTTCCTGAGTGTTGCCCTAACACGAGTTTTTCTCGGGTTTGTATATTGGTATAGTAAACAAGGTATTGAAGTACATATAAAATTGGGTTTGGGAAAGAGGGCAATATTTTTGAGTCAATTTTATGTATCTTTGCAAGATGGTGAAGCGAAAACTATGAGGATTAATGCATGAATGCGGACACGAATACTTGTGGCTCGTGTTTATCCAGACATCAAATTTTGATTTGTCGGGAAGAAGGAATGACTCCTAGCATGTAAAAGAGGCAAGCATTTCTGGTATGCTAATAAGCTAAACCAACCCCGCATGACCTGACCAAGATGTCTTTTTGTTTGATTTTTGTACAATAATTTTGCATCTCTAAAATGATATTTTTGGGTGAAAATTAATTGTCAGCGTATCTTATTTTTACCTTTCATATATCTTTATTATTTTTTGTCCATTGATCTTCAATTCATTTGATCCGACGTCTAAAAATTGATAAGGACGTGAGAGATAAAATTGGATGTGTGGATAGCACTACCTAACAAAATAATTCAATCCATTGAAAAAATGGACCTCTAGGGCTCTAGCCTTTAACTCTGGTTGAGAAAACAAAAATGCACCTGTGTGACAAATTGGCAGTGCATTTTAGCTTCCAAAGGAGAAATAAAAAGTAGGTAGAGAACTGTTTCGGAGAGTAATGTACACGGAATGTGTTTACTGTCATGTGATTGTATAATGTAGTGTTAGGTGGAGAGGAACTCACACACAACATTGTATTATTAGTTTGAAACGTCACGATGACAGTGAAATTGTAACATCCCACATCGTTCAGGAGAGTAGATCATGTAAGCCTTATATGTATATTCTCATCTCTACCTAGCACGAGACATTTTGAGAGCTCATTGGCTTCGAATTCCGTAGGAATTCCGAAGTTAAGCGAGAATGGGTCAAAACATTCACAGGATGGGTGATTCATTGGGAAGTTCTGCTCGCGTGAGTTCCGAAAAACAAAACCATGAGGGCGTGGTCGGGGCCCAAAGAGGACAATATCGTGCTACAGCGGAGGCTCGAAACCATTTATATTTTAGGTCCTCATTCAAATTGTTTGGTCATCTAAGACATGCAACAACCAAAAACACAATTTGGTAGATAAAGCAGAAATGAAATTCCGATAATCAAATGGCTAAACAATTACTAATTCAGCCAATTTTTGACATTCGAAATGAACGGTTCCGATTGTTGAATTACACCTCGGAATAATTGAATGGAAAATAGTAGTGTTGTAAAGGGATTCCCGCTTGCCAAATTATGAAGCAGGTGAAGTGAAACGGTTGGAATCTTGCTTTGCAAAAGGAAAAAATCTAGATACGTTGCAAGATATGGACAAGGCTTTGACTGAAGCAAAGCAACAAAATTGCTGAGGCCCCACTTGTTTGCTTTTCATACTTCAATTATTTACTTTGAACCAAAATGTACAATACATACACATACATACACACACCTCCTCCCACCCGAAATTTGTATTATTTTGCTAAAAGTCATCACTTGTGGGTTGTCACTCGTCAGCTGCCGAAGACATGTTACTCTCTAACAACTTGGTACAGAAATTGGATCAATAGAACGAAATATCAAAACGCGTGAACTAGGAGATATCCTTACATGTAACTGGGTTTATATACCTCTGCCTTTTTCCTCACTTGTGTCACGTGAGGACAGAGAGAGAGGCATAGGATACACGCTGCTATGTCATGTGTTAGGTGAGGAGAGAGACAGACACAAATTCACGCATCGCATGTAAATTTTAGAGCCAAATGATGAAAGCATCATTATTCACACAGAGCAACTGAATTTTGGATTTCATAGGATCCAGTTCTTTACAAAGTCAGAGGGAAAGTAATCACAAAACTGGGAATATCAATGATTTGGATAATGACAGATAAAAAATGGGAGTAAACGCACAAAAGAAAAATTAAGGCATGGCAACAAACTCAAACTCGATTACAAGAAAAAGTAAACATAATACGTTATATACCTAACGGGAAGTGGTATGATCTCTGCGGTGTGGGTGAAGCCTCCTCCGAACGATATTCAATGGCAGCAACTACATTGAAGTGAAAAGTACTCAGTGTTTTGGGGCTACTTCCCTCAAAGTTGAGCCCGTATGGGAACACATTGCGGAAATTTAGACCTCAACCAAACGGTGAAGGAACAGGCCCTGGCCCTGTGAGTGCATCTGATCTTTTAATGCTTCCCATACCGCATATAATGCAACCGGGTGATGAGAGAGCAGAAAATTTGGCCCCACAAAGATCACAAACGTCATATCCAATAGTTGACAGACGACTAAGTGTGGCGGCACAGAACTGGGAAGGATCTTCAAGTGGATCAATGGATTTATTGGACAGACCCCTTTGCACACACATATCAACTAAGCTCCTCAATTCTTCCTGCTTACTTGGAGGTGCTTTGGATAGCAGGAGTTCAAGCATCTGCTTCGAATAAGCATAATTCTGCACCTCCATGTTCCGCTTAATTGCAGTTCGGATACAATTTATCCTGTGCTTTGCCAGAAGAGGCAAAGAACCCAGGTGGCGTGAGAGTCTGGCCATCTCGTCTTTTGCACTGATTGCACTAGGACCTTGAACTCTTTGCAGCCGCCCAATTTCCTGCAAATGAAAACCAAATTAGAGATAAGTTATGTGCGACTATTCGCAACACAAGGTTTCAGATCAGTTTTTTTTATGGGATCTTTGATGACCAATAGAAATCAATCCCGCAAGTGTTTTTAGTCCCATAGTGTTAATATATTGGCGAAGGGTTTTATTATCCATTCACTCAGCCTCAAAATAAGAGCACATCCATCTTTCTTTCTTTTTCCTCATTTTTTTTTTGTTGAACTCTAGAAGAATGAATAAAATACCCGAAGAAGAGTGACTGCTATTTTGTATTGAGCACAGATGGTCCCTTGTGCTTTAATATCAGCTCCACGAGACTGATCCTTAGCCAGTGCAAGAAAAGCTTCATCAAAGCAAGACAACGCATCTGAAAGTTGATTCTGCTCAAGGTGGGCAACTCCAGTCTTAAAACATACAGAAGCAGCAGCCCCACGGGGTACCTGTTACGAGGAAAGCCAGGAAATAAAAAAGGATTGCGGGAATTCGAGAAATAGTTATGCAAACTTGTGTACATGTACATGTATGTATTACCTGTCCAGGACGCACAGAAGATGGTGGAGAAGAAGGCTGCGCTGAAGGTTTTCCAGAGTCAGCAGAAGTTGGAACCCCAAGGACACTCAGATCAAGAGGTTGAGTAGAAACTGGGAACTGAGTTGATTGAATATGAGATTGATGCTGCGCGGCAACCTGGCCTGAGGATGGTGGGACACCACCATCAGGAAGTCCAACGGGCTCGAATGGAGCAGCAGCCGGCTGACTAGCTTGAGGGGGAACACCAGCATCAGGAAGACGAACATTGGCATTGGATGCATTGGCTTGGTTAAATGCTTCCTTGTTGCTTTCAAACCCTTGAGAAGCTTGATCCATTTTTGAAAGATAGGTCCCTGGAGGGGGCAGTGCGGCCGCAACCTGAAGAGATGGTATCGTATTCTGGAAAAAGTCCTCTGGAATCGGCGCAGGACCAACCCCCTTACCTGTTGAGGTAGGAGCTTGATGTGATACTGTTGCAGGTTGTGTAAACGAGTCCATACCAAATAGATCACCAGGGGCAGAGCCTACACGAGGAGCCACTGACCCACCGTTAGCTGGAGGAGGAGGTTGGGATAACATCTGGCTAAGGTCCTGGGATCCAATAGTCAATGACTTGGTCCTGGTCATGGGTGGACCCAACCCTTCACCGAGTTTGAGCTGCTTTGTGGCTTCTTTGATTTTATCAACGTCCACTGCAGTAGAAGCAATTGGCTTGTCTCTTATTCGAATGTGTAACTTTTTAGCTTTTGAAGTTCCCTCTTCATCACTGCTGCTACCATCAGCTGCCCCGTACATTGTTTTCTTGAATTCTTCTTCAGCTTTAGCCTGTTCATCTGCTGCAGAGGAACTGGCAAATTGTTTGTTGTTAAGTGTTTCCAGACCCATTAGCGAATCACCAGCAGGCACTCCCTTGAACATATTAGATGTGGATGTAGACAACGGAAGACCATTTGGCTTGTTGCCACCACCTGCTGATTTAAAAGCTTTGACCAAGCTATCTTCCCTTACTTCTACAATGTTGCCTCTTCCTTTGATTGATCCCAAGTAAACACCAATATGATCAGCGATAATGGATGGAATGGTGCCATCGTCAGTCTTCATGTACGGCATCACCTCTGCAGCCAGTTCCCACTGAGGTATAGCCTTCATGTTTGTTGGGGTTTTGATTTCCCAGTTCCCACCACCCCATTCAGGACCTTTAGGGACCATACTCTCAGCGGCAAAGTTGGCAAAAATTCCTTGAGTCCATCCAGTAGAACGGGCTCTTAAAATCCTTTCACAGTATCGTCTTAATTCTGAATCTGTGCCATCTTCTTCCAGTTTTTGAGCAAGACGCCGCATGGCACTGGGGTTTAGGTGGCATATAAAGAGGTCGAGCATACTTTCATAATCACCTATAACTTCAAAGGTTTCTTTTGCACTATCAAACTGCCCAAACCTGCCAGTTTATCTTAAGTTATAAAACAAAAGTTGCTTCAACAAAAACTAAGTAACTGAGAACTATTTTTTCACAGAAAGTAACATGAAAACCATCAATCCATCAGTTCTTCAGCAATAAGCTGGAACCGTGGATGGAGCAATTTAAATAAACAACAAAAAAGAGAAACCTTCAATGCCGCTTGACAAGCATAACTCATGAAAAGGGATGTCAAATATAAGCTCAATACAAATTCAAGTACATAAGCATGCGCTTGAAAACGAATTTTGATCTACCAGAACAACTTTTGTCAAGCATTTTCACAGATTGAATAATTCCTCCAAGCATAGGCAGACCAACAATCCTTCATGCACAAGGTAAAGATACTACCGATTCCTATTTTACCCACCACAACAGAGTCAATCCCCTATAAAGTAGCAGGTTTTCGAGAGCTTTTGCGTTTCTTTTATTATTTATCTCCTGCTAGGTTCAGGGACAGATCCAGGATCTATATCTGGGGTGGGCTGAACTTTGAAGCCAAAAATCCAAGAACAAAATTTAATGCCGTTGTTTAGGGGAATTGACCATTTAATGGACTCAATGGTGTAACTAAATTTGGGCAAAAACAAGTGAGAAAAGAGAGACATAAAAAGATTGATTTCAGGGTCTTTTCTAGTGCTTTTCAATAAACTGCAGCCATGAATTTTTATGGGTTAGAAGTTAGAATTTAGAAGAGAAGAGCATGTATAATTAAGAGGAGGAGAGAGAGTGAAAGCCTGAAAGGGGTAAGTAAAGAGAAAAGCTGATGTCTTTAATCTAATATTTTTTAGGCTGAATGGCTTGGTTTAGTAGAACTCAGGTGGGCTAGATTGGCTAATGTACCTAGGTTATTTCTCTTGGGCTCAGATTCGGTTGGGCTACAGCCCACCTCAGCCAGCCCTAGGTCCGTCTCTGGCTGTGTTCCACATATTCATTTCATAATCTTGTACAACATGCAAAGTTCAGAAAACTCTCACAAGTTAATTTTCTCTTTTCTGATACCACTATTGGACATCATTTACTCATCCGTCTCTGGCTGTGTTCCACATATTCATTTCATAATCTTACGTACTATTAGATATGTGAGAGTATGATATCAGGAAATTTAAAATTGAGCGGCAATCATCAAAGAAAAAGAGACCTAATAAGTTCGTTGAATAAAACTGTTAGAAACATATAGAAATAGACAACAACAACAACAAAGCCTTTTCCCACTAAGTGGGGTCGGCTAGAAACATATAGAAATAGAAAGAAAAATAAAATATATGGAATAAAAATAAAAAGAACACTTTGTCATATCTACATACTTGATACATGCATAACCCAACTGGTGGAACCGGTGGAACAAATGAGAGGTTGGAGGACATCTTGGATAATCTCTGGAGCGCAGAAATTCGTCTTTTAAGACAGACAAAGCAGTCGAAAAACGGAGAGCTTTGATGGCATAGACACCCCTCAACACCTAAGTTATTTCACACGTTCAGTAACAAAATGGACAACTACCAAAATTTATTAAACACCACATTGTTTTTAACTCACCTGGGTAAACTGGGGTCCAGCTTGAGATAGTGAGACAGAAAGATCTCCACAAACAGGAGAGCCTCTAGCAAGAATATCAAGAGACCTTGGAGTGATACGCAGGCTGTCAAACCTTCATTTACAGAGTGTCATCAGCAATTATTCAAGGAACCACATTTATTAAGGTTCAGAAAAGAAGCAACTGACAGTACAATCCATATAATGTTATACTGCTTTATGATGTAAAAAGCATAAAAATACTTTTGAAAACAGATAGCATGTGTATAAGATGAGATAGATCACTGGAGAGAAAAGAAACCTTGATGTTATTTGATATAATATCTCTGGAAGGTCAAGTTTCTGCTCAAATCTCTCTTGCATTGTGGCAAATCCAATAAGAAGAGGTTCAAGGAGCCCAACAAGACAGCTCTTAATCTCAACTCCCTTCCTTTGTCTGGGGTTTATTTCTGTTGGGGTAGCAAGCAACAACCGATCATTCAGCGCACCAACCAAAACTGCAAAGAAATACATCAATACGAGTCAGAAGGATAACAGCAGAGAGATACATTCCTGTATCAGCATAAGCAGCCACAGAGATACGTACCTGCATAAGGCATACTGATAGAGAGAATAGCCCTTACTTTCCCGTCCCAGCCAAGCACGCTAATTGCAGTGGTAGTAGAAAAGAGAAGTGCAGGCCCAACCCATAAAAGTGATCTAAAGTGAATAGAGGTCAAGTGCTCAAACAAGTTGTAACAACCTCAATAACTCAGTCAGATGAATGATTAGCAAACAAAAAAAAAATGTAAAAATTTTTACACCAAAATGTTGTAAAGGATATCGAAGGAAGTCCTTTATCAAATTTTGCGGAACCGCCTGCCAGTATATCTAGATCTGCCGAAACTATAAGCACCCTGTGCGTTGTTAGTATTCCAGCTACATAGCCCCTAAGAGTTTCTTGCCAGTGAACCTGTCAAATTATAGCAGCTGGAGCTTTGAAGGGGCAGATTAAAAATGTTTTGCACATTAAAAAATTAAAGTCCACACAAGTGCAGTCTATCAAGAATACAGTTCCAGAAGAATATAGTTGCATGTCTTGTGACGAAGATGTTTCTTATTTAATAAGTAGTCGACTATGCATGAATGGATATACATACAGAAGAAATATGGAAGGCTATGTGTCAGATGCAACCATAGCAAACAACAATAAAGTTCTCTATTTTAGGAACACAAAGAAAATTTGCTCTATTTTTATCTTATCCACGGGAAAACTATAGTCTGCATGTAAAATACACAAACTTGAGACTTCATTGGCTTGAAACTGAAATTTTCTTATGCAATGTGAGAGAGGCAAAAGGGAGTGGAAAGTTTTTACCCTCCCCACCATATGTTCTTCTTGAATGGTAGTTTCAAGTTTCAAATGAGGAAGTGTAAAGGGGCAGAATAGTTATGCACTAAGCAGCACACCCTAATTACTTTCTATTGTTCAACAATAAGTATTAAACCATAACGGTTATATGATCACCTGAAGTACAATCTCATTTAGTTTCAACTTAATTGTGTTTTTCCCTTCACCCTTTGTTGCTATATAATGACCACCAGAATTGGAAAGCCGGTATCCCTGGATCAACTTTGCCAAGCCAATCTGACTCCCATGAGAAGCAAACATCAATGTTGACTCTACAATCACAGAATACTATGATTAGCACATACTATTGATGAAAACTTTTTTACAAATTGAACATGATAAAAAAAATTCTTCCCTCAAATACCTATTGGAGTCGAAAAAATTCGATCCACTTCACTTTCAAACATAAATTGCATTGGACCCTTGGGACCAGCGTCAGTATCCACAGGTTGGCTTTCCTCAGCCAATAGATTCTTCTCATTAGCTTCAGGAGAAGCCTTTTTAGGCAGAATATACAAAACCAGTCCAGTCTTATCATCATCAAGAATTGCAAACTGATTTTCATTAGGTCCAATAAATGCTGCATCACGACCTACAAAACTCAAAGATGAAATTTGTGAATGATTACTAGATCTCTTGCATGCACAGTAACATTTCAGGGGAATAAAAGCATCCAATGGACAGACAAACCTTTTATTGTGGTACACTTGCTGTTTGCTGCCTGAGTATTGGTATTTTCAAAATAAAGCACCACTTCATTTGTAGCACCACTAAATTCATAGACAACAAGAAATAGACCCTGTTTTTTACCGTAGGCCATGTACTTTGGATGATATTCCACATTTCCAGGAACCTATCAAAGAGAGGTGAAAAGGATTATTTCACTATCATTAGCACCACCAAACGGGAATCATCATAAAAGCTAACGAGAAAGTTACAAAGACGTCACACTAATTCAAATGATAGCATATCAAGTCAAAACATTACCGTTGTGTAAAGTTTTTTGTAAATGCTATCTGCTCCAGAACAAATGTTATATGCCATAAGGTGTAATCCATCAACATAAAAGGCCCTGACAGGATAATGAAGAACCCGGTTCTCTTTATTGAAGAAATTTAACTCCAGGTGAAATGGCTGCAAGTGAACCAAAGTTTTTACAAATTAAGGAAAAGTAACACAAGACACAATCAATCTTTTGCTGAGACAACTTACCTGAAATACAGGAAAGTCCTTCAGATGATGCTTAGTGTCTATAATAGTAATGAGGGGCAGCCGAGATATTGGGGCACTTTTGGCATGACCTTCCATAAAATGCTATAACAATAATGCAAGGAACTGAGTCAACAATAAACTGAATTATAACAACTTAGGAAGTCAGATTAGATCAGACGGGAAGTTCCCCAGAAGTGTTCTAATATAAAGGAGTGGGACAGGACAAAATAAACTAGACTATGTTTTACGGCCTGATTACATAAAAACCTATCCACAGTCTCATAACATTACAAGCCAAATTAAAAAATAAAATAAAAAAATTATACACCGCATATTTAAGATAAAAGTGACATACACTGTGGAGAAAAGCCTTCCGAGCAATGTCTGATATTGTAAGCTGACTGCGGCTGCAATAAATGAAAAATTATTATAATACTAATAAAGTTCAACATCGTACAAAGCAGCAAACAGATTCAACTCGACAAAGCCTTTAATCCAAATGATTAATTTATGAGTGCAAGTCTAAACTTGAACCAAGAAAAGCAGTAATATGACACACACACATGTACACAAAACAAAATTTAACTCAACAAAGCCCTTAATCCCAAAGAAAATTTTATGAGTGGAAGTCCTTTTTTTCTTTTTCTTTTGTTGAAAATGATTGAAAGTCTTAAGATTTGAAGAAAAGCAGTAAAATGATTAACCAAAAATTAAGTTAAGAACTGCAGCTGTGCCATCAGTAGCAACCCAAAAGAAGAAAAAGGTTAAAAAAAACTTATTCCACCAGTAATTTCCAAAAAAAAGAAGTACAACTAAGCCTAGTGTAAGTATCTCAAATTTGACATCTGTTTTTTTTTTTTTTTTTTTTTGGTGATGAACAAAAAGCTGAAAACTGTAAATGGGGAAACTCTTTACAAATGTAAAGCATCTGAGGTCAAGACAGCTGACAAAAGATCCTGAAAACAACCTAACAACATTGTAGGAATAATCACCATATAATTTTTATGTTCTCTAAATTTAAAATCAAACTTCCGCTGATAGCCAGGTCAAAAAATTGGGTTTACAAAAATTCTGATCTCACCCTTTCGAATGATGTTCTTGCAGTTGAGCTTGAAGTTGATGTTCGGCTAATATTCCAGATGAACCCAAAGCTGAAAGCTTTTCTTTCAAAACAGATGCTGCAAAATACCACGACAATTAGCATATCTGGTCAATAAGCGCAGCAGCAACACAAGAACTGTACGAAGGTTCTATTCATAACATTACAAATTTCAAAAAAAATTGCTATCTTAAAAACCAAAATATCAAAAGGAAAAAAGGTACGATATTAATGTAAAAGTAGCAAAACTATTCAGGAGAAAACAAACCATGAAATGCTACTTCAATTATGTTTCTCATCAGAGACACCACGATACATATACAGAGTTACAGAACGTGTAACTGTAAAAGTCAAAGATTAGCAAGCTTACAACCTAAAGTTGTCTACAGATTGACCAAGAAAATGCTGTCATTGGCACGTAAAAGGAAATAATCGTCAACTTTGTATCTTAAGAAGTACATAATAAACATGAAAATTGAAGATTTTATTTCCTTGTCAGAATTGTCAATGTCACTAGAGAAGATAAAATACAAGAAAGACGGGCAAAAATATTTAAGCATGCAACAGAGTAAGGTGCCACTAATGATCTTTGGTGTACTATACGCTACTCAACACGCACTTAATTAGTAAACCTTCCACTCCCAGATGGATCTGAATCCTGTGCTTGTCTTGTTCCACTCTCAGGCAATGCCAAGACAAGTATACAGTCCATTCCAATTTAAATAACCAAAATAAGAAGCACAGTAGAAAAATAGAAAATTGTCAGATCATGATAACTTCTTCATGGTATGTGAAGACCACCTACTAATACATATGATCAAGATATTATGAATTTCCAACATGAAGTGTATTATCTACCACCAGAACCTTGATGAAATAATTTATTTGTGGAAATTACTGAAAACATTTTTCTTAATGATGTGAAAATTTAGATATGATATCATTTTGATATAATTATCTTTAGACCAAATTATAGGTAGATTCCTTAGATTCCTTAATCAAAGGCATTAGTAAGTAGCATTTCCCTCAGGATGCTGTGGAGTTAACAGGGAAAACTCGGGTGGATAAGACCAATAAATACACTATATTGTGCAAATTTTATTTTCACCTGAAGATCCTCTTGCACCTTGCAAAACTGCAAACAGTTGTTTCCTTCCTTCCCTAGTGTATGCAGCCCGATTTTTCACATTGTCTCCACCTGTCATATTCTACAACAAAAATATAACATTAAAAATAAGCACTTTTTGATATGGGTGCTGTAAAACATGTGTTATGTAAGTGATTGTGCTTAACTGCAAACAGAAGTGCTGCTAAATTTAATTTCGAGTGAACTTCTAGAGTTTTAATTCGCGGTAAAGGGTAAGCTGCTTCTCCACCCTGCTGAGAAAGGATGCGAGGGATATCAAGTGATTCAATTGCTGCATGACAAAAGGAAAACACGGAAGTCAGTGCAAGCTAGGAATATATCAAGTCTTGGTCAAAACAAAGATGACCCCATTGGCGTCTATGCAAGCACAGCATGCCAGGTACAATAATTTATAAATATTGCTCTATATTATAAGCAAACATCATATACATATTGCTAGTTTCCTTGTGGTGGTTTTTTTAACACTATTACAATAAAGAAATGATGCCAATATGTTCAGCAGAAACATATCCTTAACATGGTAAAGCAAAAGAGTAAACAATAATAATAACTAACCAGCAGGCTCAAAGAAATTTGCTTGCATTGGAGGTCTATTAGGATTAATTATAACCCGTGTTTTCCACACTTGAAGAGTTCCATCCTTGGACACAGTTACCAGTAACCGCAACATTGGGAGCCAGGAAACTGAAGCTATTGGTTGGGAACCCACTTGTGTACTGAATTGCAACCAAAGGTCAAACTTAATATATTAATTAACGCCAGCATGAGATTGACAAAAACAAGCAAATTTCAAACAAGAGTAGATCATATAGGCAAGTAAATATGACATGCCCATAAGATCATATTGACAGCAACTTAGACATGCCTCTTGTATCTGAAAATATGAAAAACAATCTATTTCAAGCAATCCTATTCTACAAAACCAGAATCTATTGGCCATTACAGCCACTGACAGTATTCCATGGGAAGTGTAATCGCTATTGGCTTGAGGGCAACAATTTTTTTTTATTCCACTTTACATTCTTTCTAGTATTACTACCATAAATACTTAACATTCCAATCATGCTAGGTCTCTCAGTTCTTCATAAAATTTACTATAACCTTAAATCCATTTCTCTAAAGATAAGTAAATAAATTTTGGAAATCTAAACTCAAGAAAATGAAACAAGAATGAATGAATGAGTAATAGAGAAAGGAACATGAGGAATGAATGAATGTGTAATAGAGAAAGGAACATGAGGCATTAATTCATTAGTTTCCAAGGGGAAATGTAATCTCCATTGGCTTGTGTTCAACAATTTTTTTTTATTCCACTTTACAATCTTTCTAGTATTACTACCATAAATGACTTACATGCCAATCATGCTAGGTCTCTCAGTTGACACATCCCATGCAAGCAGCGTACCCCGTCTATCACCAACAAATATCCACTCCAATGTTGGGTGAAAACCAAATGCACCAGCACCAATAAGCTTTATGGTGTTATCGACTGAATGACAAGAACAAAAGATGATGACACACGTGAACCATTTAAAGGAGACTAATTTATTACTCTCATTGTCTCAAACACTCAACAACAAAGAATCGGGTTGCTCAAAATAATAACAATAATAATCGGTCTCATCTTACTTTGTAAGGTGTAATGAACCGCATATGTGTGAATGTTGTAGGCTCGAATCAGACCATCAGCATAAGCCACATACTGAAATAGGGAAAAAGAAAAAGATGATTGTGATATCAGAAAACAAAAGGACTACGCATGTTACACATTTATCCAAAAGCCACAAATGTATTCTGACTACAAGGACAATAGGAAGAAATTCAACAAAACAACTATATACCAGGACAGGGAGGCGAGGGTGGCAGGCAAGATTGACAATCGGTTTCTTCAAGTCTGTCTTTATTTTTGTCGGCGCTCTTCCTCCTTCAACGGTTCCAACAACTTCATGCATAATGAAGCAGTTCCAAGAATTAGAGAAGCAGTATCAAGAATTAGAAAAGTCGGCATGATTGAACATGCACTGTCATGTCACTGCATTGTGTGTGTGTGGGTGTTTTTTTTGGGGTGGGGAGGGGTGGTTGTAAGGCAGTTAACAACTGAAATTAAAAAAAACCTGTGACACTCATTTTCTTGTGGAAACCGAAAAATACTACAGGCTGGAGAGACGTCAAAGCTAGATGAACTTCTGTATCAGAAGAAATTTGTTCTGTCTTCTTCTCAGGTGAATGCAAGACGCATGTTTGCTCAGCATCAAAATCACAAGAGCGAATGGTACAGTCCTACAAAAATGGGGGGATAAAGATAAATACCAAATCAAATGTAATACTACATAAAGAAACAAAAACTTAACACAAATTGAATAAAGTAGCAAGGAAACCCACAAAATACATTAACCAAACAAAGAGACTACAAATCTGCTCAAACTATATGTTGTGCTTTGACTAATCTCTTCAAGACTCGTGTATTGGAATAAAATGATAAATGAAGTTGCACTGGTTCATGCTACAGCACATATCTTTTAACTAATAACCACTGTAATGCATAGATCTATCTGAAAAGTAACCATGTGGAGTTTCTAACAACATGAATATACATAATATTTGTCCCAATGATCAAGACAGTAAGTCACATATCTTCTATCAGTCTCGCAATCAATGAGCACAATCTATTATAGTGACCAAAATATGTTGTGAACATACCTATAAGCACACTTAATGAACGAAAAATACACAAATAAACCCAATGTTGAAACATTGAAATTAGATTTTAGAGCTTTTGATTGGAAAATTGAATGGTGCATGGAAAAAAAAAGCCCTTCTTTGCAGCTATAATGTTACAAAAAAATGATTTAGTAAGTTTGTTGGTTTACCATTGGTGGTCCCAATAGCTTAAGCTACTATGAGACAAACCTACAATCATGAGAACAAAAACCTGGAATTCAACATAAACCAGATAGATGTAGTGAAAGGATTTTTGTCCAAGAGTTAAGATATGATGTAGTGAAAGGATTTTTGTCCAAGAGCTAAGATATCTTTCTATGATACAATGGTAAGTATAATGTTGATTTAACTTTGTTTCGAAAATACTTGCTGTTAGAATTTGGGCCAACAATTAGTCATAACATATTCTAAAACTAAAACTCGCATATTAACATTAAGATGAGATCCAAGAAGAAATTATCTATATCTATAAATGTCCAAACAGACAAGGGCTTATAGGGAACCAACCTCAAGGATCGCCACCACAGAATGCCCACTTGTGGGGCTATAAGACATGCGGACAATGGGTGTACCAATATCAATAGATGAAATCTTGCTTCCTGTCAACGCATCCATTTCTGTAAAAACAAAAACATTATGAATTGAAAATCACCGAAGTGCAAAAGGAGCCAAAACGGCATAAGGACAAACATGTATGTATGGCATATACACGAGGGCACATTCAATCTATTAACTTTGATGCGGTAATTAGGTTTCATGGAGTTACTGAGTACATCCATGTGGTCATTCCTAAAAAGAAACTAAAGGTTTCCCAAGAAAGATAACCCGGTATCACGAACATTACATAAAGCCTCACGATTTATCGAAGTTTATAACTTTAAACTAATGATTGATTAAGTATGTCAAATGCACTAGTTACATCATATACATGTATAACATATTCAAAGTAGAAAATCACAAGCTTTAGGTATAATTACAAACAAAAAGAGGGGAAGGAATGGTGTTACCAATGATGTAGTTTCCAATGGCGACGGCAACGAGGGCCTGATGGGGATGAAAGGCAGCAGCATGAGGCTGCAACGGTTTTGAGCTGCGTCCGACATGTCGTAGATCCAGGTGCTGCACCGTCGTCCACTCCATCTTAGAGTTTCACCTGCAACTCTCTCATCAGAAACCTATAGATACACACACATATATACATATATATTGCCCCAGAAATCTCAAATTTTGTTCCGAATTTGGTAGTTGTGATGAAACGAGTAGATCGATGGAGAGAGAATATAGAGATAGAGGATTTGGATCTTACTTCAATTACCTGATCAGTCGGAGATTCAGAGAATCAAGTGAAATGGGAGCTCATCGATTTGACGAGGAAGAAGAAGAAGATGGAGGACTGGGCTGATGAAAAATGAGAAAAATACAGACAGGGAACGCAGCAGAGAGAGACAGAGAGCGCGCTTTTGCAACGACCGAATCACAAGGCCGAAGTAGCAAGCCACTTTCTTGCTTTGGGCTAAGATGGGCCAGGACCCCCAATGTTTAATTTTTATTGGGCCTCTTTTATGAGATTGGGGATTCCATGGACCCAACTATTCGTTACAACTGCAGGTCCGTTTACGACTTATTCTATGAAAAGCAATTCTACTCACAAGTGCTTTTATTAAAAACACATTTAGAGAAAATGACTGAAAGTGCTTTTAAAGAAAATATTTTTGAGCTCTAAAAACACTTGAAGTGCTCTATACAAGAAACACCAGTTATGTGCTTCTTTCAGGAAGCACTTTGAGCATTTTTCCAAGATTTACTAGCATTTTTACTAAGGACTGTATACAAACGTGCTTTAAATTTTTTTTTTTAAATGTGCTTTTCCAAAAGCCGCTTCTATTATTTCCTAAATTTTTATGCCAAGAATAGTAAGAAGAATGCATATGATTGTCAAAAAGCAACTTTTAACACTTCAATAAGTAGTCTTAAACAACCCTTAATTGAACTAGAAGTATAACCTTCCTTGAACATTTTAAACCCACCTTGAATCGTCGTCACCCAAGCACCATCAAACATTTTGATATGTTATCATCCCAGAGCAGTCACACTGCTCATATAGAGAATAATACATCGGCAAAGTCTATCAAAATTCGCATAATCATTCTAAAAGGTCACATACTCACAGTTGTGACTTATGACTCAAGAAATCTTCTCATAATTCTTAATTTTAGCCTTTGAAGGGCCACCTTTGATTCGCCAGAATAATGCCATGACTATATTATTCTAATTCGATGTCGTGTTTGTTTCATAGTATGCACCAGATAGTTGGTCTAATTTAAAATAAAACACAAAGTTCTTATTTTACGTTTAACATGTCGAGGTGGGTGCTATTAAATGGTAACAAGGTGTTAATTTAGAAATACATCTCTTTTTAATGTTGAAAGCGATTCCAAGTTTGAATCTCTCTACCCACTAATGAGAAAAGGCACAATATATATATCAAGTGAAAACATAACTGTAGACCATAGTAAATTGTACAAATAGTGCCATTTGATTCCTAGCCGTATATGTCACCATATATATATATATATATATGGAAGTGGTCCTTAATTTGGATCAGTTGACGGAAAAAAAGCATAAATAAGAAGAGAGGAATAAAATAGGAGAAATTAAAAGCTACATTGCTACGACCCAATAAGAACTCAAGTACTGGAAATTATCTAGTTGCTGCTAATTAGCGGGTGGAAAAAGTCTAGTATTATTTGAACTCCTATAAACCATTGTAAAGATGGCTTTTATAAGCTCGTTTCAACTCGTTATATTAAAGTGATGATTAAGTGTAAGTAATAGGTTGAGGGAGCGAATAAGAGGAGCTAGAGTATGGCTGAAGAAGGAGTTTAGTTGAAGACGATGAAACTATGGTGGTTCAAACCAATTACCTAGTTTTGGAATTACAAATAATAGTTACCTAGTTTTCTCTAAAATAAATAACACATTATATTCAAGTTATACTGAAAGCAAAAGCAAACGATTTTTCATTCTTACGTGATTAATTAGACATGACACAAAATGTGCCCTTCTAATCCTAACATTTGAAGGGGACTAGAACTACAAATTAATAACAGTGAATTTTGAGAAATCCAATCCAATTCTAATTGCCAAAAAGTCCTGAAAGTGATATATCTCCACCATTAAGTCATTACATATATCTCCACCATCACTGCCACCCAACAAGATCAGTGGCGACTCAAATATCCACCAGCTCCGCCACCGCCATATCTGCCACTGCCACTAAACATGTGAGCTCATTTAAGATAGTAGACCAGCTTGCTTCCTTTCCTCCGATCCAAATTTATCCACAAACCAAAGTATTATCTGACAGGAGCCATACAATATATACACCTCGAATTAGAGCTATAAATTTATTAAACTCTGCTTTGTCTTCATCTATCATACTCCAATGAGAATATTGATACTTGATAGAATGTGAAGAAAATGACAATACGTGCACTGATATTATTTTGTTCGTAAATTTACCCTATGGAGTATGAAAGTGACAATTTGCCTGCATATATATCTTGATGCTAATTTGCTTAAAGCATGTGCTTCAACAGGAAGCAGCTGAAGCAATATTGGGAAGCTCAGTGCAAATGGGTAACAAAGGCAGGGTTAGGGTTAGGGTTAGGGTTAGGGTTAGGATTTAGAGGAACATATATATATAGCAGTGCAAATGGGTACCAAAGGCAGGGTTAGGGTTAGGGTTAGGTTTTAGAGGAACATATACATATATATACATATATCTTCTGCCAAAGAATTCACCCATGGAATGCTAATACTATTTAATAAAATATTTCTCTTTAAGTTTACAATTCTAGGCCATTAATTAACCTGTACCCATAAAACACAAGCCATTATAACATAACCAGACATATATTGATACATAGATATATATAATTGGTATAAAGGTTGAAGATGATCCGATAAGCTTTCTCTAAGCTCAATATTCAACTGGAAGGAAGATCTAAACCACATATATGAGATCAGATAAGTTAGCTAGAATAGTGTGTTTCGAATGTACCAAAGTTTAAATTCCTCTTCTTATAGTTTAAATGAATTTGATGTAAGTGCCCTATCAGTCCAGCACCAAAGATATATACGAACAGATTCTAATAATTAGTAGGGTCTTTTCCTCGTACGATCCCCCCAATTCATGATTGAAATTTAAAATGGTACATTCATATATACACATTTTTCTCTTCACATCAAAGATAAAGAGTAGCTGGAGTCCTTATCTTGAAATCAAGTTTTCTTTGTTTTTCTCCCTCCTTGCGTGAAGAGCTGGGATTACTAGCTAGAGTACCCTTTGGGTATGCGAAGGTTGTATACAGGTATGCATGGGAAGTCTCAGTTAAAAGGGTGCTGGGTTCAGATTAGGGCTCTTTTTTATGAAATTAGGGTTCCATCATAAAATCAATTAGTTATATAGAGAGTAGTCAAAGGCCATATATGTCCTTAGCTAGCTAGCCTTATTCCTCACCGATGTGGGACAAACTATCCACACATATTCAACTCTCTCAAAACTTCCCCGTACGTGTGGCCAATTTTGAAGCATGCACATAGAAGTAGGTTTAGTTTCTTTATTAGAAGGATAAGCACAGTTATTGCTCTTTGTCCCAACATTCCGCCGGGGGTAGGCTACTAACTTGCTCGTTAGAAGTAGGTGATACGTGAGCACATGTGACCCATAATAAAATTGAGGTTCACCATAAAGTCAATTGACTAGCTCAAGACCATATAAGTTCTTAGCTAGCCTTGTTCCTCACCGGTATGGGACAAAATGTCCACACATATTCAACTCTCAACACTTTGAGTGTAGGAAACTTGATGCTTGACTTCAATTGAGGTTGTGCCTCTTTTAATCAAGAACAATTTACATGCACCGTAATATTCCAATTAAATAATTCATTGTCATGTGTAATGCATTAATGAATCGTAACGCTTCACGATGGTTAACACGCTAAGTCTTTCTTCTTGCAATCACCATAGTTAAAATCCTAATTAATTACATCTACATAAACATAACTTACTAATTTATCATTTTTACCTTCACTAAAAAAAAATCTCACAATTGTCTACTTTAGTTTAATCTATTATCTATCTTTAGAACATGTATATCAATTGGTAGAGTAGATATAAAATACAAGTAATCGATATGCACAAATGGATTTGTGAAGGTGCAAATAAACCGCACGCACTAAATGCCCAATCTCGGTCCAAATCAAATTTATCAAAACTAACATGACGACAAATTTACTTATTATGAATGAGAATTCAAGGTATCTTTATCTTTTTATTTTAAAATTTTATTATTTTAAGAGGAAGGAGAGGGTTCGAAATTATTACAATAATTTAGGAAATGGAGAGTTTCGAACCTGGAACTCATATGTGGAAACCCAACACCATATTCATTAAGACATTGGACTACATGCTTTTGTAGTGCAACTTCTGGACAACTCACGAGAACTCCAATAGCAAGCTATTGTAATGTGCTCTTCCCCTAAATTAAAAAATTAATTTAATATTATGTGAACCATTAGTCCACATATCAAATATTAAACTGATAAAAACAGATACTACACTTGATCTAAGCCAAAAAGCCAAAAAAGGTATATGTATCCTTATCATTTTTAATATATCTTTCGTTTGTGTTCATTTACCAAAATTAAAAAAAGGTATCCATGCCAAGGAGGTCCATATATGATTCTCCCATGCATAAACAGTTAGATATGAGTTCCACATTATCTCATATCATTTCCGTCCCAAAAATGTAATTAAACATCCCAATGTTCACCTTTTTTAAAAGCGTGAATTTAGCTTAGATCAACTTATCTTGACTGAACAAGTCAAGATTGGGCCAGCAAAATTGGTCTTAAATGTAAAAGTACCATAATTTGAAATTGCTCACAAAATTTATGACTTGAGCACTAAAGTCTAAGTGTCGAGGGTTAGATAGACATCAATTTCTTCATTCAATATACGCTCAATTTAGTAACCATCCAACTTAATTTTGTCTTACAACCAGGTGATTTTTTTTTTTTTTGAATAAACAGTATTATCTACGCTAAGAAGGAGATGATGGGCTTAGCGTCGCAATGTGCTAAAAATAATGTGGTTCAAATGTATCTTTGACGATAATCAAACCTAAGACATTTAATTTACAAGTGAAAAAGAATATTATTAAACCATTGTACTAAGTGGCACAATTGAGATGATCGTAAGCTCGACTCTTTTTGTTCATGGATCTCAATCTTAAGCTCGACATGGTTTAATCATTGAGTTTAATGTTTTGCTTGAACTTTTAGGTTTTCCACAGTAGGTTGGAAAATTCTGTGATTCTAATAATTTAGGAATCAAATTCCTACAATGGATTGAAAAATCTAAGTATTGGAAGAGTGATTCTTATTTTTTAATTCAATATAT